AATAAAATATGAATAAATCTTAATCATTTATAACAAAAGAATAAATTATTAAAAATTTATATAAGTGTTTTATATAAAAATTATGTGTAAATTAATTATAACTGTTTTTAAAATAAGATTTTTGAATACATAAGTTTTATATAAAATTATAGCTATTCATTTTTTAGTTTTAATAATTAAAATTTATTATCATTCTTTAAATAAAAAGACATTTAAATTCAAAAAATTAGAATAAAAATTTAATAAATTTTAATTATTTATAATGTAAAAATGAGTAATAAAATATATATATATATATAAATTATGTATAAAACTTATATATGCAAGTTAATCACTGTTTTTGTAAACGTATATCGGTAGACTAGAACCCAACAACAACAGTGAGATGGGGAGATGTTACCTTTACCCAGAGTCTTCAGATGGGCTGGGTTAAATTAGGCCGAATATTGCAAGTACAAAGGCCAGTATCCTAGGCCCGTTGGTAATAAAATAATACTATGGGCAAAAGATTTTGGGCCATGTATGTGGTACTGTACTGGAGAGTTGGAACTAAATAAGGCGTGCGGCATCGGAATTTGGAAGCTTAAATTAAAAACAAAAAATGGAAAAAAAAATATGGGAAGTCGAGGCCAGGCACGTGCCGCCACGTCTTCGTAAGGGCCTTGATGTCCTTCCCTCTATTTTAGGCAAAAACTTACTTTTTGAGCCCCTCACCTTATCAAGTTTAAAGGTTTTAGCCCCTCACTTTATACTTTAACACTTTTAACCCTCACGTATTAAAATCGAAGAAATAGATCTCACTTTGTACTAACTGTAAACTCTGTTAGTTAAAAATAGATTTTTGTTAACTAACAATCAATTAATAGTTAGCTAACATAATTAAAGAAATATTATAAAATTAGTTCTGTTAACTCTGTTAGCTGAAAAAAGATTTTTGTAAGTTAATAGTTAACTAACAGTCAGTTAATAGAGTTAACAGTCAGCTAATAGAATTAACAAAATATTATAAAATGAGTGCTATTTTCTTCGATTTTAATAGGTGATAGACTAAAAGTGTCATAATATAAAATAAATTGTTAAAATTTAAAAATTTAATAAGTAAGAGGCTAAAAAGATGAACTAAAATCTTCAAATTTGATAAAATAAAAAACTAAAAATAAGTTTTTATCAACTAACAATCAATTAATAATAAGAAAACATAATTAAAAAAATATTATAAAATTAATTCTGTTAACTCTATTAGCTGAAAGAAGGTTTTTGTAAGTTAACAATCAATTAATAGAGTTAACAGTCAGCTAATAAAATTAACAAAATATTACAAATTGATGATTATTTTCTTTGATTTTAATAAGTGATGAACTAAAAGTGTCATAATATAAAATAAATTGTTAAAATTTTAAAACTTTAAAATTTAATAAATGAGAGACTAAAAAAATAAGCTAAAATCTTCAAATTTGATAAAATAAAAAACTAAAAATAAGTTTTTACCTCTATTTTAATTCCTTTATCTTTTGCCTTTCACCTTTTCTACCTTTGCATCCCTAGGCATATTCTTTCCTCTTAATTCCCGGTTTGTCCTTCTCACGTTTTTTATATTTTTTTTATTTTTTAATATATTATATAATTAATTATATATCATGGGATAATCCTTTCTTTATCCAGCCTCTCCCGAGCCAGTCCCCACTTATACTAAAATCCAAACTTTACCACGACACGTTCCTAGGATTGGAGTCTGTAATTTTTTTTTATTGATATATCATATTAAATATTTGACCCTATGTCAAAATTAGAATCCAAAGTTACTTACAGTTGAGCAGCCATCCCTTAGACGTAACATTATTAATTTCTAATTATCGAATGACCCACACCCATAACCGCCTACTCCAGTGACACAGAAGAGGAAGAGCGAGAAATCAAACCAGCCTCACCTCACATGCATTTTCCTCGCTCAGAGCGCTCCCTCTGCACAATTATTGCGTGTTCCATAATCCGCTCTTCTCTTTCAGCAACTCCATCCCCACTCCTCTAACCCTCTCTCTCATAATGGTCCTCGTCCATAACCAGAACCCTTCAAACTCTGAACCACAACCTCCTCCTCCTCCTCTTGCTTCTCTCTCCAATGGTGACCCTTTGGATTGCACCGAGACGCCGCGGTTCAGTGAAGACCTGGACTCTTCCTGCTCTACTCCCTATGTCAGTGCACCTTCGAGCCCTGGCCGTGGCCCTACTGTTGGGTACTTCTACAGTGCACCAGCCAGTCCCATGCACTTCATGCTTCCATCATCTGCTGCGTCCGCCGTGGCACCTCACTCATCCGAGTCGTCGTTGATGTCGTCTGAGTGTGATACGGCGTCCTTCGAGTTCTCCTCTCGGTTCTCCAGCAGTGGCTCTGTGATTGGATCCATGAGTTCTGCAGACGAGTTGTTCTTGAACGGCAAGATTAGGCCGATGAAGCTTTCTTCTCACTTGCAGAAACCGCAAATCTTGGCTCCTCTGTTAGATCTAGATGTGGAAGACGAAGAGGTCGAGAACCAAAACCGTGAGCATTTGGAGAAGCGAGAAAGCTGTAGAGGTAGAGATCTGAAGCTCCGAAGCAGATCACTTCACCGAAAGGCGAGATCTCTGTCGCCGCTTCGGAGTCCGGATTTTCAGTGGCGCGAAAAAGACGGAAACGTAGACCGAGGAGTTGGCGAGGGCATTTTGGAGAGTTTGCAAGATTACGACAAGAGGAAAGCTGTTTCGACCGAAACGACGCCGTCGTGCTCTGCATCGTCTTCAAGATCCTCCTCTTCTTCTGGAAGGAACTCAAAGAAATGGATATTCCTGAAGGACCTGTTGTACAGAAGTAAAAGCGAAGGACGAGGAAATGGGAAAGAAAAGTTCTGGTCATCGATTTCTTTCTCTCCTTCTAAAGATAGAAAACTGATTCCACCTTCCTTGAATCCTTTGAAAGAAAACAAACCGGCAGCTTCTTCTGCTCCTAATGCTACGGAATCGCAAAAGAAGAAGCAGAAACAGAAGAAAAGCAGACAAACTTCTGGGAAGAAAGTCGCCTCTGGGAAACCAGCTAATGGGGTGGCAAAACGACGAGTGCCTCCATCGGCACACGAGCTGCACTACACGGCTAACAGGGCACAAGCTGAAGAGATGAAGAAGAGAACCTACTTGCCGTACCGGCAAGGACTCTTTGGTTGCTTAGGATTCACCTCGAAAGGGTATGGTGCACTTAATGGATTAGCTAGGACATTAAATCCGGTATCATCCAGGTAGAAACGAAGTACGATATCGTTCAGAGGTTTTGCTGTATATAGTTCTTAATTCCTTCTCCATTTTGGGTTTTTAAGATTAAATTAGATAATACAGACTCTGTATTTTTGTTGAATTTAGGTGCTCTGATGTTTCTGTAATTTATGAAAGTTCTGTTTGAATTACCATTGTTGACAATAATCTGCAAATCACCTCTGCCCTGAAACAGAGGTCTAAGTTATTTGAAAGTCCTCGCACTGTTACTGATTAAGTAGTTCTGATGATTTAACAAAATTTATTGACACAAATTAGCAATATTATCCCTGTGTGGTTTCTGTACAATAATTTGTTCTTAGTGCTGGCTTTAGGTTGATGTATCTTTTTTGGGTAATAAGCATTAAGTGGAGTTGCTTTTTCAGAACACAAGCTTTTTCTCCACGAGTTCTACAAAATCAGCAGTGGGCATCCTTTAGGTGGTTTTTGTCTTTCTTGTTTTCATTTGTTCAGGGTGTGTGGCCCTTGTCGGGTTACTTAACTAATCACATAGCATCCCAAACAGTTTTCTTTTTTTCCACAGGTGTACATTTTTTACTATTAGGGTATCATGATCATTATTGAGATTTTTTGCCAATTTGTAGTATAAAATAATGCGATAACCAAACCCTCTGAGCCTCAATCAGGGTTCAGGGGTACGATTTCTGCATAAAGATTAGCTGACCCACATGGTGTGTTGTTGTTAGCCTAAATCAGGGGTACGTTTCCAACATGAGATGGGCAGACCCACATGGGGTGTTGTTAGGTAAGCTGTTAAGAGTCGTGACTATTATACCATGTCAAGTTTGTGTCCTGGTAGTTACCAAAACTTTTTAGGCGTTTCTCGCCACTAGGCTTTCCGTTTGGTTGCATTGATTGGGTTGTTAGGATGCACAATGTTGGGGTGTTGGCTTGCAATTTTTGTTCCTAATGCATCGGTTCTTGATATGGGCATGGAGCCTTGATTGCTCGGTTTTTGGGTTTGTTAGAAAATTCGGTGGATATACATTACTTCTTCCTTTTTTTTTTCTTGGAAAATAGGCAATGGGTGGATATACATTACTTGGGCGTTGAAAGGATGGGGAACTGTCAATTTGATAGTTAGCAGAAATGGACTTACCAAAAAAAAAAAAAACACTAACCAAAATCTTATACTTCTTTTTATCTTTTTTGGGTGCTACAGTGCAATTAGGAGCCAAAAACCCATTTTTGCCGTCGGAGTATGGAGTTCTCCAAAACTCTGATCTCATATTCTTTTAGAAAGAGATAATAAATATTTACATATTTTACAAGTTTGGGTGCATCAAATTTTAAAATATTAATTATTGGAGAGGAGATTTTTGACTAATTTTTTTATATTTTGATACCATTTAAGTTATCATATATATATATTCTCTTTTATAAAGGGGAATGAGATATATAATGAAATCTTGCAGCTCTAACACGCACAAGGTGGAATCATTGGTCATATGGTCTAATTTAATGGTAGAGTTATTTGTGTTTTTAATTATAAATTTAATTTAATGATAAAATTATTTATATTTTTAATTATTGGTTTATAGTTCAATTAATTAACATAACTCTCTTGAATTTTCTTTTAATTTTTTCTTTTCTTCATCTCCATATTTTTCCTTGTTTTTTTTTTAAAAAAAAAAAACCAATGAAGTCCACCCACTAATACACTTCGCAATTACCAATTGCCCCATAAATCCTAATTTTGTTCTCTTTTGGACTTCTTCCCAAGTCCTTATATGTTGGGATTTTTGTCACTAGAACTTTGATTAGTTATTAAATAACAGATTAAAGTATTAAATATCAAAATAATAAACAAACTTAGAGGACCTGTAGCTCGTTATGGCATATATATGATCTTTCCCAGGCATTGTCCTGGCATGGCAGCATGGACCACAAATGCCTTTTGAATTCATTTCATCAAACTTGTAGTTAAGTTAGTTAAATTTATTGTTTAACGCCCACTCTAAACAATTTAGACGTGTCCTGCTCATTAATGGATTTTACATGTTATGATTTTTTTAAAGAAAATTATTGATATTATTGATATGCACCTGGGCCTCACGGCACAATGACCATAGGTCAACTTGTAAAGTGAGGTTGGGGTTCGATTCCCCCCTCCTCCATAATTGTAACATTGTTCAAAAAAAAAAAATTATTGATATGCCATTTAAATTCAATACATTTACTCATTTAGTTATTAGAATATGTAATTTAAATTTTTTTTGTTTTTAATTTAAATTTAAAAATAATAATTTTTTTAAAAATATATTATAAAACATATTAAATCAGAAAAAATATGTATCAATCTCCTTACTTCTAATATGTGACGAGCGAGGGTGAGTGATGATCTTTTACACTCATTTGTTAATACTCAATGTGATTGATTCACATAATGGATCTTTCTAATTATTTATAGGATAATAATTGATATACCCTCAAGTTAATACACCTAATAACACTCACTGATTTAATAATTAAGAAACTAATATTTTTTAATTTGAATTTAAAGAGAAAAAAAATTTAAAGATAAATTTAAATAATTGAACCGGTGTGTTATTAGATATATTGAACTTGAGGTTATATTAATCATTTTCTTTATTTATATGATCAACTTGTGTAAATTTAAAATTTTGTAAGTTTTTTTTTTTATTTCTAATTTTTTATGTTATTGACTCGTGTAAAATTAACTCACTTGCTGGCTGCTGCACTTGCATTCTTTTATTATTATTGTTTTTTTAATAGGTATAAATTTAAAAGCAAAAAATTTGAATCCAACACCTAAAATTATGAGGCATATTTTTAAAAATTTGTAACTAATTGCTTTTTTAAGTTAGGTGCTGGAGCCTTTTATTTTACTTTCCTAGTATGCCATGCAATATTATCTATAAAGACATAGAAAATCAAATTCCATGACATAGAATTTGCTAACTTATTACTGCTAAAAAAAAAAAAAAACTGTTTTTCAAGTGTGTAGTTTGAGATTAAAATTATTAAAATATTTTTAATATAATTATATATATTAGTAATAATTTAATAATTTTAATATTTAAACTATGTTTTTAATGTAAAATTCAAACTAAAAATAAATAAAAAATCTCTACTACTATTATCAAAAGTTCTACAGCCAAAACCTCGGGATATTACATATCTGAGATTCCCACTGACGAATGCATGACGCCAAAACAAAAATGGAAGCGGTTTGTGAGGATGATGTTGAGAGCGAGCATTGTTCAATCCCCATCATCCCTTTTTCTTTTCTTAGAGCTTTGCACTTCTCTGCTTCATTCTGGGCAATTGGTATCTTTTGAGACTGACAACTCTTTGTTCATCTCAAAGATATATTGCCTTTTTTTTTTTCTTTCCTTCTTTTTTATTGGGGCAAGGTTATGCCATGCTAAATTTTGTTAACATCACATATGTTTTAATTTAGGATAATGATATATACACTATTTATAGTTATATATAGATAAAAATTATAAGTTTTAACCACACAAATAATAAAAATTATCAGTTTTAACGATGCGAGTAATAGAAATTGTTAATTTTAACAACACAAGTAATAAAAACTATCAATATGTAATGAAATGTATAACATTTTAGGGTGTATCAATCATTTTTTTTTAATTTATTAACATTATCTTTTTAAATAATATTAATATTGATAAAAATAGTTAATAATTATAATTAGTAATTGATATTTATTA